AAATTGGTTCAGCTGGCATTCTCCAATGCTCTTGAAAGAGCATTCATAGAGCTTCTGTTGGATGATTGATTTAAACAACCAGATACCAATCTCAACATTATTATAATAATAAATAAGGGGTGACATTGTAAACACTAGCCCCCAATTATACCCTTTAGTGAGCTGTGTTGCATGAGTAACATATACTAGGGGAACAGGTAATTGTGGAAGTAATTTCATAAATGAATTGAATGTCAGTTTTACATCTAAGTGTGTAATTTGTAGGTCATTTAAAATACTTTATGCATCTGAAATGATTTATATTGCACTTACAGATAAATTTACAGGTACAAAAAGAAGATTCAGGTCACCTGAAAATCAGGTATTACTCCTTTGCAGTTTATCCTGATATCCTGATTTCATGAAATCATACAAAATGAGGGTTGGAAGGGACCTCAGGAGGTCATCTAGTCCAACTCCAGCTCAAAGCAGGACCATCCCCAGCTAAATTATCCCAGCCAAGGCTTTTTCTAGCCAGGTCTTAAAAACCTTCAAGGATGGAGACTCCACAGCCTTTCTGGGTAACGTGTTTCAGTGTTTTACTACCCTCCTAGTGAGAAAGTTTTTCTTAATATCTAACCTAAACTTCCTTTGCTGTAACTTAAGTCATTTGCTCCTTGTTCTGTTACTGCCACCACTGAGAACAGTCTAGCTCATTTCTGCTATAACTGCTTTTACCAGAAGAGCGATGAAGGAAAATGAAAGTTTAGCAAGCTACCTCACATTTAACATGGGGGTAAAATTGTGCATATAGGAAGTTACCCTGGGATAGCTAATGTGCATCATACCTTAGTTTACCTGATGATAAATGTTTTCATGTCCATGTGATTGGATGGATGAACTGGGTTTAAACAAGTCAGTCTAAGTTCAGGGTCACAGTCTCTCTGACTGTCCACAGTCCAGCCACCAAATAGGCTGCTGCTCTTATAATTGAAATTAATTGAAATAGTAGCAAGGTATTAGAAATAAAGTATTGGTCTTTTGCTCCAAGGTCCTGATACAGTGACTTGATTCTCTTGTATATAAAGATATGATTTGTGTCTTCAACAGCAACAAAAAAGAGAGGGAGGGATGTAATATAATATGGAATGAGGTAGGAAATCAAATAGGCATTGGACTCAGGTCTCTGGCTTCAAAGCAAATTTGTGTTCCTTGTGCTTAGGATTGTCTTAGTCCATTATAATTTTGTAGCCTATCAAACAACAGGGTAGATGCTCAGATACTTTAATGATTAGGGTCTTAAATAGATAGAGATGGATTTTGCAAGCAGGCAAGTGTAGGAAGTGGGACATCATTTTTCTTGTGAGATAAAAACAAGGTCCTTGTTAGGTATTGTGACAATATGTGCTGGTTTGGCCGGGACATTCCAGGATTCCATAGGCTGGTCCTGGCCAGTTGGCCAAAAGTCCCAGCCTAGAGTCTGGTGGGGAGGTGGAGTGACAGGATGCAACAAGCAGGCAGCCAGGCACACACCACTCTTCCTGTGAGGAAGCAAGGTGGGCAGACTGGAGCATGCTGCATCCTGCCTGCACATGGCATGTCCTTACTCCCACACAGGAGCAGCAGTGCCTACCTGGCCACCTGCCTGGTACACCATGCTGTTCTACCTCCTCACCAGACTTCAGCCCAGGACTTTTGACTAACTGGCCAGGACTGTGCTATGTAATCCCAGCCAAATTGAGACATATGGTAAGCCTAACTGCTAGGAGAAATTGGGTAGACAGAAAAATAGGGGTCCCTGACAAGATTTGAATTATGGAATTCTCAGCCTCATTCACACTGTCTCTATATAACCTCACTCAAGTAATGAAAATTAATAGAAGATGCACAGCATTTTCCTTCAATGTAGTTTTGAAAGTTTCTGGGATATTTTGAAACAGAGTCTGTTGTGGACTACACATTTAAGGTTAGTTCAAAGCCTTCCTCAATATTATTTCTCTTTCCACTTCTCAGTAATCCTTTGGCTATTGCAGCTTTACATGATGCTGTTATCACAAGACATTTTTCAGACTAGAAGTCAGGACATGTGTCACCCAAAGACAAATTATTTTCTCGAGCTGCTCTGATATAACCTGCTTAGATCAGTTATGGAGTATGAGGGATGGAAGTCCAGCACTCAAGTTGACTGACTCTCACGCTCCATATACACAGATAGAGCTCTGTACCAAATTGCCATGATCAATACCAACCTTTCTTAATTTTTGTAAAAGAATTTTTTTTTAGATTTAGAAACAGAGTAAAGGAAATGTCATGCTTTATTATAGTCTGGAAGGTTTTACTGTGAAACAATCATAGATTATTTCTCTCAGTCCCTTGAAGGTGGCCAAAAATATATTAAAACTAAACACCTCCTACAGAAGTTTGAACCCATAAGAACCTAACTCAACTTGCAGAATGCAATAGTACAAGTTCAAATAAATTCAGGGGGAGGGGAGGGAGAGTGTGTCAGATTTTCAGATATGCTCAGGTCACTCATAATACACCAATATATCAGAAGCCTCTTAACTGAGATACCCAAACTTTCAAAACGTTCATGGCTCATTTCACGTAAATGGCTAGATGGAAGAATCTGAGCATGAGGCTCTTCTGAAAATCTGCACTTCCATGTTTCTCTGGGTTGCACCTCTAAAAGCTTTTGACATCTGCCAATTACTTTATCTTATAATCCTTCTTTCTTTCCCACTATTTATCCTCTCAAAAAGGTCATCCCTTTTTGATCCCTACCTGCAATGGTAATATACATTATTATTATTATTATTATTGACTCAGTTTTTGTCCCTAAGAAATACCAGGGTTCTGTTCTGGTGGGTGACAAATGCTATGGTTGGACTAAACATTGAAGAAAAAAAAAAGATTAAAAGAATTATAAAATATATTTTGCTTTAGAGTCATGTTCACATACTTCTCAAAACACTATTGTATGCTATTGAAAATGCAAACACATTTTATCTTAACTTGCTTTTTTCCAAATTGAATCTGATATCTTTCCTCTTAGAGCATGTAGGATTTGAAAACAGTGAATTAAACTGCACAATTAAAGTAATGAATATAATGCTTTGATGTACCACATACTTTATTTTGCGCTGGTTGAATCATTTGAGATCAAAATCAATGTGAACATTATTCACATATAAGTGTATACCTGAAAAGCTACTGAAGTCCTTCCTCATATGTTGCAAACTATCATCCTCAATTTGCCTCTCATTTTGATAACGCAGTTCCAACTGTCTGTGTCTGTCAAGCCATCTAATTTTACAGTTGTGAATGTAGCACTGTTTCTATTGAGATTAAACACACAGTTAGTATTTCCTAGATAATAAGGATTTCTTGGGTCTATTTTACTATCATGTCCCATCAGTACTTTTCATGGTTACTTAGCCTGACTAATAATTTCCAAATAACTACAAAAATTCACAAAGTATTTGAAGCGAGGCCTTTATTTCAAGGTGCCTGTCTGAATCACATTAATATAACTATTTAACCTATGTACATCCTTAGGCAAAATGTGGTCAAGCAAATAGTAGTTATATATATATATAAGCCTGCATTAAATAGTGTTAATTTTCTTTTCCCTTTGATTCCAGGAAAGGAAAACTACTTCTAACCATTTTACCTATCTTTGGTATCTTGTCATGTGTCCTGGGAAGGAATCTTTTAGGATGTATTTGATACTTGTAGAATCTAAATTTTTAATGTCATTGGACATTTGCTTCTATTGGTTTCTTTGTTGCAACCACAAGGTGCATGTGCCTTGGTGTAAAGAATGCTATTGATAGAAGTAAATTCCACAGAGTTTTAAGTAAGATATACAATTCAGTCATACAAGTTAACTAATTAGTGGCATTAACAATTTTCTTAGCTGTATCTAATTTCTCTGTAGCACTACAATGGAGCCAAAAGTGAGAAAAAGCATTCTTTGCTAACACTAGTTAATATGTTTGACAAAGAATTTATATACAGAATGCTTTTAAAATAGAATATTAATAATCTAATTATAAATCTGCAAGGTAGTACAGCAATCCCATTGAAGTCCCCAATGTGGGGATAATACAATGTATTTTGGTAACATTTATGTTATTTATATATTGTTAGACATGTGATGGATTGAAACAATTACTTTCTTATTCAGTATAGTAGAGTTTTATATAGTCACTTTCAAATGATTCTGAATTCTGGTTACTAGTTGTATATAGGGGGTATTAGAAAAAAAGCTGAATTTAAAGAGAAACAAACACAGCATTAAGTTTTTTTAAATTTGCAGCAATATTCTATCTAGTTCATTAATTATTCTTTTCTTTATAGAGAAATCCTTGACATATCAGGCTTTTTCTTAATCTTAAGGTTTCAATTCTAAATATAGATTATTTATGTTAAATGTTATGCTGACAAATTTAATTGACCGTAATTGTCAAAATTGCTGGTCATTAATTTATTTCCAGATTTTGTGTGTGAAAATATAAACCTGCAAAAGTGCCATTGTCAATTATAGTGCATTTGAAATGACCTAATTAGCATTGTGTGATGAACCAACACATGGAAAAGCAAATGGGGACACATGCTAGGGACATAATTGGATGTGACATGAATACTAATATTGATTTTATACTATTTGATTACTTTAAAAATATTCCATACAAAGGACTTTATTTCAGTTTTGGTATTTGGGAGAAAAGCAGGGAAAGAAAATGAGCAAAAAGTGAATTCTTTTCATAATGCAAAGTAATACTGAGAGCAGAACACAAAGAAATAACAGGTGAAAATTTTGGGTCTTTTGTCCATTACTGGTTTTTTTTACGGGTGATTATAAAACAGTGGAATACATCAGGGAACATAGTGGAGAATCTGACCCATTTTTTTCATTATTTTGAATAGATTTATTATTTTTCCTCTACCCTTTTTGAACTTCAAAACATTCAGAACCTATTCACTGTTACATTCAATGTGAACTTAGCTGCCCCTGGAGCAGGTCAAAAACTAGTATCACTTCTGGGAAGAGTTCCATTTTGCATAGGCTGTTGACCATTTTTGAAATGTAGGTCTGTGTGATCCCTTGTGTTTCTTCCACTAGAAGAGGCTCTAAAGATGTTTCTTTGGTGTTCTCTTCCCAGATCTGTAGAAGTCTTTCTGGTTGCAGCTGTAGGAGGAAAGGGAACAGGTATTCTTAGAGGCTTTATATCCTGTCAGCTTTGTGGAATTTTATGGCATATTAAAGACTACTCATTTGTTTTCTGCTGGATGAAGTCTGTTGTCAGGTATGTGGGGGCACTGGCAGGCTATTGAGCATTTGTTGATGACACAGTGATATGAGGGACAATGTGGCATAAAGGAATATGGGTGTTTCTCTTACATTTGGAGGATGTGCATTTTCTAGCATCTGAAGCCTGTCTCTGTTCCAGGGGATGCAGAGACAAACTTCTCAATAGTGCAATCAGCTAGAAAATGCAATTCAGTGGGCACGTGTACATGTGCATTAATGCACTGTAGGTATAGTGCATTAAGTTTACTACCTGCAATAACAGGTACTAAATGAATGTGCAGTAACCAGTGGTTCTGTGCAGTAGTGCTGGTGCATGCCTTTTTAGTGATGCTAATGCACAGTAGAATTAGTCTACCGCACATTTAGCATCTCACATTTAGTCCACTGTGAGTTCGGGTGGAACAGGAAAGCTGAACTGGAAAGAGGTTTAGATCTTCCAGCTTCCTAATCTGTAAAATTTAAAGGAGGGGTAGAAAGTGAGGAAGAGGAGATGAGGGAGGAAGGGAAGAGAGGAGGTAGAAAAAATTAGATTAGTGATAGGCAGATTACAACTTCCATGTCCACAGTCATGGGGTGTATCTACATTATGTCATACTGTACCAGAGAGTGCTGCAGCAAGGCACACTATATATTCTCAATGCATACCAGCTGCTGAATTGGAGGTATTGCAGCCATCTTAGGTGCTGGCCATGTACCAATAAGTTAGGTCTCTTGAGATCTAGAGGGAGAGAAAGCTTATAAGCACACACCCAGCGCTACACCTTGGTTACTACATTATTTCCATTTTGTGTGGTTTGTGTATGGAACAGGCATGTGTGCCTCATTCCTTCCTGGCTTGGTACTGTGCACTACTGTCTACTGTGCAGACAGAACAGTGCACTAATATAAACTCTGTATCTTATCTCTGCTTCCATTTTAATGAATAGCCAAATGCATTAAAGAAATTTGACTGAATTTATTTTTCATGAATTTTCAAATTAAGGTTCAGTTCCAGATATAAATCCTGAAGGTTGGATTGTTTCTTCTATCAGACATAGTTGTCAGACCTCCATTATTACAAAGCGAGAACCGTTTATTTTGCAAAAGGTTTTTCACAGACCTAATTATAACATCAAGTGGGGTGGTGCTCAAACTAGAATGAGTGAGAAATAATGAGAAAAACGAATCCAATAATTATTTAAAGCAGTAGGTATGAGCTGCTCCTCTGATCCTGTCATGGTGGTAGCCTGGAGAAACTTCAAAGTAACAATACGCATCCAGCCATTGAGGACATTTTATTCTCCTATTCACAGTTTACTGCATTACAAAAATCCAGTAGATTTAGTCTGTTTTTCAATTACACTAACCACTTACATGTGTAGAGCAAAGCCCTCTGTACCGTTGTGCTGGTCAACAAAAGACAATGATTAAATTCTAAAAAAGCATTATAGATGAAACTGCTACTACAATAGGCTTAGGTAATCAGAGGTATAATCGCTTTCTGCTGGAAATCTGTAGCTGTAAAATGAACAGAAATACACATTGGGCTTTGAAGTCCATTTTCATGCAAAGATCAAATAGCCCTGTCAGATTTATTCTTCACAGTTTTGAAGTGTAAATGTACACTGATTCAGGGACAAGGAATTATTTACAGTACTCTATACTGAGCATGAATTTCATATTGAGCAAGTATTTCATAGATTTGACAATATTATGTTTAATTGTTATATATTTTTAATATTTATTTAACAAGCCAGTGTATATGTCAAGATATTTACAAGCATTTTGCAATCATTTTAAGGTATATAATACTTAACTATATTGCAGAAGGTTACAGTGGCATTCTCAGGTCTTCCAATGTTCAGGATTTAAAATGGAGGAGCATTAGGGGAGCATGCTTTATTTTGGAAAATGTTGATGGAACTCACCTCACTGACATGCAGATGTGTTGAATATTTATAGGCAATGCTTTTAGTAAGTGCTATTCTAAACAGGCCCCAGGTTGCTATACAAAACTGTCATGTTATATCTCCCTCAGTTGCCAGTATGAAAGAATGGGGATATACTTCTAAGACAGTAACATCACCAGCCATCTTTAAAAACACAGAAAGTAACTGTGATAACTCAAACATCAATGTGTAGATGAAAATGTATGTTTTATGAGTAACCACAGAGAAAAACCAGAACATGACAATAGATCTGATGAGCATACATGCATAAATTATGTTTAATTTTACAGAATACTAGAGTAACTATTACAATCCATTGCATCAAAATGACAGGAGAGAGCAGGAAATAGTTGTAAAACAATTTTAAGGCTGTTGGTCTTTTTTTCAGCAACTAAATCTTTATTTGGGTATCTGATTTAATTCTGCTGGGCTTTCAGCTGAAATGTACCTACACATGGACTTTAGGCAATTCTATTTTCTGAAAATGTTAGCCTCAAATCCCTACTGTAAACCGCTGTAAATGCTATCTGTGATTTTTTTTTTTATATTCTCAAAAATGTCAATAAACTGAAGAGGAAGAGAGAGGAGGTGTGAACAATAATACTCAGCTGGAGTTTGTGTGTGCATGCATATGTGCATATTTTGTATCGAGCTGGTAAAGAAATGAATTTTATTTCTCTACCAGTGTTGATCAAAGGCTAGGAGTTTCTTTGATTTTTTAAATATGTCTGACTACCGCTTCAGGGAAGTTGTCTAAAGGATTATTTAGCCAAACTATCAGAGAAAATTAGCAAGACTGAAAAATCAACGTCTACCAGAAGAGAAACCTCAGACATGCAGATGACAACTAAGGGTTCACAGAAAGGAGCTGGTTGAGAATTTTTCAATTAAATATTTTTTATTGGAAAATGTCAATTCATCTAATCCAAATGCTTCAAAGAAAAGTTTATTTTAAATATATTTTAAGATTAAAAGTGTTTTGAAAAAAGTTTGAAATTGTCAAAATACACTATTTTGACATTAATGATTTTTTGTTTTGGAATTTTAGTCAATTTTTAGTAAAAGAATTAATTAAAAAAAAAGATTGACATAAAAATGAATACAATGTTTCACTCAGCCTTTTTTTGATTATTGGCTTGTGAAATGTTTCAAATTCTGACTGTCCCTCTTAATTCAGGATGGGAAGAAATTTTGAAATTTCTGTTTAAGAATGATATGAGAACCATTTCCCATTGAACTCTAAAAATTAAAGTTCTTGCTTCCAAGATATGTACCATTTCAGGCAAAGTCAAGAAGGTAATTAAGGGACCTGTCAAATATAAGTACAGTTTAGGGAAGGAGAAATTCTTGTTCATAGAAGGCACAATTGTTTTTCTCACTAGATGGTTGTATGACCTGCAAAAATAAGGTCCGTTGCTAAAGATGCAGTCTGGTGGATCTTGAGAGTAATGGGCACATCTATGTGTGTAATCAATGTACATGAATAAACTCCAGAGTGTATTGCCCCTGGGAGCCACATCTTCATGTGCACCTGGGACTGCAGCACGTTGAGATTAGTTGGAGTAGCACATACTGGTAGGTGACCTGGGGGGCTCAGCCTGCCAGCCTGGGACTGCTCCTCCTGGCTCAATGTGCTGTAGAGGGGCTGGCTGGGGCATGAGGGTGCTTCATCATGGGGCTAAGCTCCAGACAGTCCCCACACTGAAACACCCTTGTGCCCCAGTCAGCCATGTCAGTGTCTGCATATGCGCTGCTGCAGAGTAAAAAAACTCCACAGCAGGATAGTATTTGAATTTACAAGTACTAACCTGCTGCAGAGTAAATTAGTTTACTCCAGACTAATAGGAGCACATGCGTAAATGTGTGATGTTTACTGTACAGCTAACTAGTCTATTGCGCAGTAAATGTCTTGTCTAGATACGCCCAATGTGAACAAACTAGACTTTGAGGGTGACTGCTGTTTCATGGTGCACAAAGAATGCTGGGACAATGCAATTCATGGAAAACAGGAATCCAGATATAACCCCAGAGATTCCAAATGATAAATTATGGCTGCTTCTTGCTCTGAGTTTGGTCCTCTACATACATACCCTCACAGGCAAGCCATTGTTGGGCCTAATCATTTCTGTTGGTGTCATTTGTTGCCAGTGAATAGGATTTACTTAGATACTAAAAGTTTAATTCTGTTAGAGATAAGAAATTCTCCCCGAGAGTCATCAGGATTCATCTTTATCATTACTATTTGTTCTTATGCAATATAACCACTCCCTAAAATACCACTATCAGAAAGATGTGAAATAAAAGGCAAAGACAGCACCAACATTATATTACATGGTATGTTTAAAAAAACCCGGCTGTATGAAATTTCAAAATCCAAATTTTGAGAGAGACAAGACATGACATGTTGAACTGTGCCAAAAAATAAGGTTTAGCTTTGTAGAAGCTACACAATGCTGAAAAGGCAAATTATAAACAATAAAGCTTTTCAAAATGTATAATTTGTCCAGCTCTAGTTATTGCTATTTGGGACCTGGTGAGGGTGGTGAACTGATTTTTCTGTAGTGCTGATAATTTATTTTTTAAGTTTTCAATGACTTTCATCAATGGGCTTGCAGAGATTGCCAAGTGCACCAAGACTCCATGGTGGGGGACAGAGAAACTGGCACATGGGCAATTAGCATGAGGGGGCACTCAATCCAGGTCTCTTCTGGAAGCCTCTGGGCAGGACAGAAGGGTGAGGCCACTGTGAGGTGGAGTTTCCTTGGGGAGGCATGGTTCCCTATGAAGGCCAGCCTATCAGGGGTGGCCTGGATGCTTGGCTGCACTTGGGAGATCTGGAGATTGGCTGCACTGAGAGATCTGCTGCTTGCCTGCAGCCTGGATCTGAGATGTCATGGAAGGATAACTGAGACTCATCCAACCCTCTGACTATTGCTGCTCATCCATGTG